CAGGCTTCAAGATGACAATTTGTTATTATGACCCCAGATCTTCTCTTATGTCAGGAAGGGTGAAACTCCATAAATAGACAACTCTCTGACCAGATCCCTCTCCTTGTATTTCCCTATCAAGAAGCCTGCCAAGTGAATCTAGCTTCTTATATATTGTGTACTCTAGTTTCTTATACCATATTCCTTTACAGCAATAAACCTCTGTAATTGAATCATTTTAGATTTTTATCCTCCTCATTTTAGGATGACCCACTTTCCCATTTTTTTCCGGAAAGAGTCCCACATCCCAGGAACCCTCTCAATCCCAGGTACGCCTGGAAAATTGATTACCCTACTTACTTTATTTTTCTAGAGTAGGATCCAAGCACTCTGCTTGCTGAATCTCCTAAAGAGGGCAAACATCTTTTGAACTGAAAGGACAAATCTGATTCAAATGCATGGGTGTGTGATAGATGGCTAGGGATACAGAGTTTCAACAAGCATGGGAAGACATATCTTTTGGAGGAATTTTCAGATACTTGGTTTAAAACATTATTTAAAGGAATTTTTTTTATCACTATTGCTTCTACTTTTGTTTCAACTTTATGTACCTTCAGAAAGTCAAGTGAGTCTTATAGAAGACATTTCTCTAATTGTAAAAGTTCAAATAATTAATCACAGATTGATATTGGTAGATAATTCCAAATGTCCTTAATATACAATGGCCTCTTTGGCAGCCAAATGCCCAATATAATAAGGAAGATTAATGGACACTAGCACACAAATACCTAACACAAAGCAAATGACTTTATTTATTCATCCATATTTTTCACTGAAATTTTGCCAAACACGAATTATAGTGGAAAATAATAGTGACTTTTTCCAACCAAATCCTAAATTCTTTTCATTGTATTTAAAAAATAAATCTCCATTTTTATCACCCGTGATATGAAGTTAGTTAGGCTTTGATTAAAAGGAAATACAATAATACGTTTTTTTAAAAATTTCAACTAACTATACCTACTAAGGATCTAAAACCAAAGTGGAAAACAGAAGGCTTAACCCCACATGCTCCCTGATCAAATGTAAAAGTTCTTAAAATAGCTTCATGTGGAGCTGTTAGGAGCAGCTGAAACAAGGAGTCCTTGGTGTCCCCAGTCAAAACCTGGCAGTTTAATTACATGGCTCAGAGGCAGCTGCCTCTGTTTCTTTCTGTTTCAGGGCCAGGCACAGCAGCTCTGAGGGGAGCCACAGAGGCAGCCTTTGCTTTGTCCACTTGCTATCCTCCTCTGAATTCCAGTTTTCTAGCCGAGGAATTGTCCCTAGATCTATCCCAAAGATCTGTGACATCCATTCCAAACCATGAACAGAAAAGAAAAGTAGCTAAAAGTCTCCATGCAAAGAATTTCAACAAATTTTAAATAGAAAAAAATCCAGGAAGAATATAAAAAGAAGTGAGGTCTTGTTGCATTTGTTTGGTCATAACTAATAACAGATAGAACTATGTCTGGTTCCCTATATACTGGTACCCTTCTGTTAGTCAGCAGCAGATCAGTTTACTCTCTAATTCCATCAGAAAGGCCTCCATTCACTCAAGACTGCTCTGCTCAGCTATGTACACCTCTCAGCCACATTTTCCCACGCCAAGAATTTTTTCTTGTGATGTTTTCTCTCTTACCCATGATAAACTGCTTTTCCACAAGGGCCCACTTGTGCTTCCACCAGAAAGAAACAGGACTGCGTGCGCAGTTGCTCAGATCTGATGTGACAACCTATGTTGTTAGGCTAGTAGCACTAACCAGCAATTTAAAATTCCATTTGCTTTGGCAAATATGCTATCATACCATACTATTCTAATCCTTAACAGTCACCAAACTTTCTAAATTATGAAAGGTAATAATGTTTTCCATTCTTATCACTCAGAATTGTTTTTTATATCATACAATGGATGGTGTTAGCAGTAAAGCTTACTCTAATAGTTTACTCTCCCATATTCTGCTTCATTGTTCTATCCAAAAAGAAAATTTTTCAAGGGCCAGAGGAAAGAATTCAAGGGTAAGGACTTTGAAGAACAGGGAAAGGATGGCAGGGTAATCCTGACACTTTCCCTTATTAGACAGTTTCCCATTTGTCCACACCATCTTCAAACAGTAGGTAGAAGCTGAAAGTAGGTATGATGAAAATTTAGATTTTTTTCTTGTGTTTTATATAAGAAATTACTCTATAAGGCTGTGCATCAGAGAGAAAAATATCTGAGCTAGTCTCTTAAATGTCTAAAACCTAGTTTGTCCATCTGCCAAGCAGAGAATGATAATACCTGCTTTTCCTGTCACACAGGAACAAATGAGTGACCAACATTTGTAAACAATGTAAAACATTTCGTAGGTATAAATGGCATTGTTGTTACAATTAAGGTTGTTATGAAGTCTCATTGACCCAAGTGAGAAGCACAGTACTGCTACTCTTTCAGTGTGGGCCCTGTGATTGACAATGTCAGAAATATCTTGAATGTCAGATTTGATCCCCTGATTGCTAAAGAGATTATAATATAAATTGTGTTCTAATATCTTCCTTAAGGATTTCCTTTGGAATACAGTCCATACAATTATTTCCTAACTGAAAGCAAATTTTTCATTACCATTTCCTTGGTATACTATTCAGGGACTTTCTAAGGGACATCCTATCTGATCCAGTTCTGAAGGAGAACTGTCATTTTAGTCTTTCACTATCTATAGCTTAGACAGAAATATCAACATTCCTCAAAGTAAGGCTCAAGTATTTATACTAAAATATATCTTCCAACTCAATTATTTTACATTGAGTTGGTCTCTAGAATTGTTCCCATATCTTGCAGATACTAAATAATCCTGTTCAAAGAAGAGAAAAACTTTTCTGATTCTTAACTTTTAAACAGGAATGAGAGAAGTTCTGTGGTAAACAGCATGCACAACATGCAGATTCAAAACACGAATGAGTGGCCTTTTTGTGCAGATTCCTACTCTCTGAGCATATGGAGACCATATTTGTTTCATTGACTGTATCCCTGTTAACCTGCCTGAGGTCTGTCACAGAGTAGGCACTCCATAGTGATCTTTGAACAAATGAACAAGTGAACAAATTCTTCACTATAAAAATGTTCCCCCTGTTATAAATGAAATAGAACATTGTTCCAGGCTCAGAATTAATGGTTAATAAATGCTGGTAGTCAATAGTTGTCACCTAAGGAAATAAAACAACTAATACTTTTTCTTTAACTGTTTTTTAATGCAACACATTAGAGAGGCAAATATGTAATTAACTTTTTGTTTTCAGTTAAGACAAATAATAGTATGGAATGCATTCTGAATGAAGAGAATTTAGGGTCCATTACTTTGGGTTTTTCCCCCTTGTTGGAGCTGTTCAACTTAGGGCAAGTTGTAGTATCAGTCTCCTACAACAGTGTTTCACCAAATGCACCATCATATTGAAACCACAATAAAATATCTGTAGTGACAGTGCCACTATGTAACACCAATTTTTGACTAAAATTCTTCACTTCAATAAAGTTTAAACAAAAAGACAATTATATATGAACAGTAATATACACTAAGCTCTAAAAATGAATTCATACCCCTCTTAATAATCAGTATTTTTCTGACCCAGCATATTTATGGAGTGTTTTTGCTCTGTTTATAAGAACCCAAACCCTTATCACTTTGGGAATATTACATGGAAAGCTCTCATTGTGTAGACCTTACCCTTAATTAAAACATTTGTTTTAAGGAAGTCTAAATAGCTCATGCAAATTATTGTTACCTTCAGAAAACTTCAATAACAAACAGCTCTTACAGTATTTATCCTAATTTTAATTAAGCATAATAGGAGTTACATAATAGTGTCAACTGATAATTGTGGAAGATACATAGGATTTTTTTAAGGGACTGATAAATTGGAAAGTGTCATCATAGGAATGGCATTTTTAGCTGCAGCTCGAGGAACATTGTCATAATTTGAATAAGTTCTCTCCAGTAACAAACTACACCATGCCCTCCTTTATGCAAATATAATACACATGAAATATGCTGCATGTGGTTAAACAGTATATGTACTGCACTCTTCTAGTGCTTTCATAGATTTATACAATATTGCATAAAGAAATGTGATCATCAGTTGTAGGACCAAGTATTTTTACTGAACATATATCTCTATTAAAAGGAACTCCTATATACAAAACTATGCAGCCACCCTAAACACTGAATAATACTTCTACCCAATGAGTACAGTGAGCAAAGCTTACTCTGGTATTAATTGGTGGCAGTCTGTCATCATTTCTCATTTACATTGAAATGTGGATATCCAATCATTTTCTTTGGGATAAATGACAGCAAAAGCTCTTGATAATGATCTCTCAAGACCTTCCAAAAACTCTACCTCTTCTGTTCTCTAGCTACTCTCACTCCATCAAATCTTAACATCACAGAACTGTGAACAAAGAAAAAACAGAATACTATCTGGTTGCCTGTAAGATGCTAGTATCTTCTTCTACTGATCTTTCCATGAAAAGAGAATTCTTCCTCTCCAAGCTAGCATATCCAGTATTCCTCTCCATTTCATCACATGGTGATGATTTTTAAAATTTTGTGTTGATCATCCACATCAGCGTACAAATTGATGCTACTAACAAGGAAACTCAATTGCTCAAACCTATCCTCCCTTTTTTTTCTTTTTTTTTATTTTCACCACTAATCTTACTTTTAAGAGAATAGTAATTTTAAATTTCATTTTGATTTTCTTTCATGCCTACCAATTTAGCAAAACTTAACCTGCTGTCAGAAAATTCCTGTTTTGCAAGTGGCTCTTATTCATTTTAGCCTAAAAGTCATCTTCATAATCTCTTAATCATACCTGAGATTTACTGCATCCTCTTGCATAATAGTCAGAAGATTCTACTTCTGGAGAGCAGAGTTGGCAATTCCCAGCTGCTGGAAAACACAGAAATCCTCAAAGCCCCTTCTCAGCAAGGTTAAGGACACTTAACTTACCGTGCAGGGACCTGTACTTGATCACTCTTGGTAGTTCTCTCTTCTCATCCCTGCCAAAATCCGATAGTGGAGTCTGGGGACCAACAACGTTTTCTTCTCTTTTTGGGCCCCCTCTCAGTTTTTATTTTGTGGACTTCAAAGCCACGGAGAGTTTGCAACCAGGGGCCAGTGATAGTTCTGCAAAAAAGAAGTATCGGGGAGCCCAACACCAACTGGGCCCGAACTCTAAATGTAACCCTCTTCTCTTGCCGGACAGTGTCCTTCATACTCTGAAGACAGGAGACCTTGCTGAAACCCTCACCCCACAGCTTTCCAGTCTCCAGGGAAGAAAGGGTCTAATTGGACTGGGCTGCAAAATAAGGCGACCCAAAAGCAAGAGGCCATCTGCTGAGAGCAGACAAGTAGAGGCAGGTATAGTCTCTGTGAGCGTGTCTCTGTGTGTGTGTGTGTGTGTGTGTGTGTGTGGTTGTATTGCATGCCTGTGCCTAACAGCTGCTCTCCAGATTAGAAAACACCACTCTTTGGCAGGCAACTCTGAAACACCCTCTTGGTTGTTTCAAATTCATGCGCACATCTTGGCTGAGAGTAGAAACCTCCCGGGCACAACCTAGTCCCACTTGTCTGCCATGTCACTGCCCCAAATACACTGTGAACTACAAACAAACAGTAGTGCCAGCCTCTTAGGAACAGATGCCCAGATGGACATTAAATTGCACCTCATTTGTTCCCTACAGCCATGAACTGATGCAGGCCTTGTTGGAGATTTAAGTAACAAGGGCATGACCCCTTCTTTGACAGCCATAACCCAAGGCACTATATGTCGACATTCATAATTACTAATGCTATGTTGCTCTTTAATTTGAATGCCTGCCTATTCCATTTAATGTCATAAGAGTCAGGATGCAAAGTGCTAAGGAAACTCTAGAGCAGCATCAAAAATATTCGGTGGTTATTATTGTTGTTATTATTATCTGAGGTTTTGTTTTATATTTTTTTTATTAGTTCTACTTAGTTGTACATGACAGCAGAATGAATTTCAATTCATCATACACAAATGGAGCACAACATTTCAATTCTCTGGTTATACATGGTGTAGAGATGCACCATTCATGAAATCATTATTGTTTTATATTATTCGGTGTTAGAAAAACCTCATGTTTTAGATAGCTAAAATTTGAATATTATGTGTGTTTGTGTGTAGGTATATTTTTTCATGAATCAACTTGTATACTTTAGTCTGATTATTCTAAAAGACAAGTATATCCTCTATATAACCACATAATAATACTCAAAATCAGTAAATTAATGTGATTTCTATTATGATTTGGATCTAGAGTGTCCCCCAAAGTCTCATGTGTTTAGAGGTGGGGCTTTAGGGAAGTAGTTGGATTATGAGGGCTCTGACCTTGTCAGTGAATTAATCTCATGATGACTGAATGAACTATTGGGCAGAGGGACTTAGTTGGAGGAAGCAGGTCATTGGCCAGTGTGTCCTGGAAGGGTTTATCTTCTCTCCAACTCTTTTCTCTCTCTCTGCTTCCCACCTGCCATGAGCTAAGCAGCTTTCCTCCAGCACGCGTTTTTGCCATGATATTTTTGCTTCATCCCATGCCCGGGCTATGGAGCTGGCTGACCTGCACAGAGACCTCTGAAACTTAGCCAAAATAAACTTTTTCTCTTCTAAGTTGTTTTTGTCAGATATTTTGGTCACAGCAATGAAAAGTTGACTAACATAATTTCTTTCTAATCCTTTGATCCCATTCAATTTGTCACCAAATGTCTCAATAATGATCTTTATAGAAAGGTTTTTTTCTTTTGGTTTATTTAGTTATAATGTCTCTACTCTTTTTAGTTTTGAACAATTCTTCAGTCTTGTCTTTTGTGACCTTTACATTTGAAGATTACATTTTGTAAAATATTTCACAATTTAGATTCCTGTGATGTTTGCTCATTGCAAAATCAGTGCATTTTTTGGCTGAAATACCACAGAAACACTGTAGTATTCTTAATCATATCAGGAGACACACAAATGGAATTGATCTTATAACCAATCCCACTTAGTTAAGATTTATCTGCAATATTTCTCCACTAGAAAATATACATATACACACATGTGTGCACATACACAAACACACACACACACACACACACAGTTATAGCTATTGCTCTGTTTCTACATTAAATACCATGATATCATACTGACAACTCCAGTTACAATCTAACACCACAACAGTATTCTTGCTTATGCCCTTCCCATGTTTGTAACACCATTCTCCAACAGTGAGCATAACCTGGTTTCTGTTCGTCTCAGACTACTACTTTGCTCACTGCCCATGTGTGTAACCAATCTTCTGACCCTGCTGGCTCCTTCCTGGACCCTACCAGTCTTTTCAGCCCCATCAGCCCTGATCCCTTAAGCAAGAGAAGGGGGAAATAATCAATTTTTTTTAATAAAAGGAAAAGAAAAAGATAGGATGAAGATGAGAGTCCCATGCTCTTTTTATACCTTGAGCTATCCATATCTTAATGGTGAGATAAGACTTAGAAATTATCATGCTATCTGTTAGGCACATTGTGAAAGACATGCATGTGAAAGATATTGCACTTGGGAATATAATCTAGTGGATTTTTATTATAGTTACTATGTATTAATTCATAATTTGTGGCAGCACTACATTAAGCACTTTGTTATCTAATTCAGACAGAAACCCAGTGAGAGAAATGGTATTTTTCCCACTTTACAAATTAAGGAACTGAGGTTTGGAAAGATTAAGTAATATTTCCAAAACCACTGAGCTCAGTAGACCTTGGGTTTGCATTTAGTTTGGTCTAACTCCCTCAGCTCTAAACTCTAGGACTATATGAGAACAAATAAGATGTAATTATTCATCATAGTGGCTTCCAGAAGGAATCCTCAAATTCTGAATACAAAATCTTCTAAAGAATTGTGCCACCCAATACATTAACTGCTAACTATATAAGGCTATTAAGTAATTCAAATTGAGATATGTTATAATTGTGAAATGCACAGTAGATTTCAAAAACAGAGAAAAAAGAGTGTAAAATATTTCATTAATAATTTTATCTTGATTACCTGTTGAAGTGATAAAACTTTGGATATATTGGGTTAAACAATACATTTTTTTTAAAAATCTATCAGTTGTAGTGTAGTGTGACTTAGGAGGCTGAGGCAGGAGGATCTCAACTTCAAGACCAACCTCATCAACTTAGTGAGACCCTTTGTCAAAATAAAAAATAAAAAGGGCTGGTATCCAGATATAGCTCAGTAGTAAAGCGCTCCCAGATTCAATCTCCAGTACCAAAATATAAAAAATTGCCTTCATAATGGCCAAAATGTGGAAACCACCCAAATGTCCCTCCATGGTTCAATAAGCAAAATGTAATGAATAAAGGAGAATTACTCGGACTTTAAAAGATTAACCTGTGCACTACATGAAGACCTTATGCAAAGTGAAATAAGCTAGACACACAAAGGACAAATACTTTGACTTTCAGGAGTCACCTAGAATTGTCAGTCACAGAAGCAAAAAGTGAAGTAGGGTTACCAAGGAAAGGGAGTGGGGACAAACAGTGAGGAGTCTTGTTAATGGGTACAGAGTTTCTTTGGGGATGATGGTAACGTTCTAGAGATAAATTTGGTGATGGTTGCATGCAAGTGTAACCATACTTAAGGCCACTAAATTGCACACTCAAAAAGAGTTAAAATAGGAGCACCCTCTGAACATTTATCACATTTTTTTTAAAATGCATTTGTCCTAACAGATTTTACCAACAGCAAAAGTGACAAGATTTAAATTTCATATATTATCCTTTCTTTAATACACCCCAAGGATGGAGTCACTGACTTATATGTAGAAATAAGAAGTGGGGATAATTCACAAAGTAGAAAAATATCTCCAAGTAAATAAGTCTGTTAGGGTGTATGGGAGCCTCTCTTCCTTCGAAACTCACCTGGGGAACAGTGTTTTGGTATTCTACTTTCACATTTTTTTCTAAAGTGAAAATGATAATAACAGGTTAACTTTTTTAAATGAGCAAACCATGCTCTTGACCTCTGCAAATTGTTGCAGATAATCTGCACTCTCCTATTTCCAGAGGCTATTTCTTCATGACTTCTAGAATGCCAGAATACCAGGTGACAGCTGTTTCAGCACTAAGGCAGTCCTCAAGTGTCCTATTTTGATGTCATTATGTAATGTTTTTCTCTTGGCTGAGTTATCATCCTCAGTAGCCTTGTTGACATGTTTCACAGCATAGTTCTCCACTTATGCATCCATGTTACTTTTCAAAGTGCACTGGTTCTCTGAAAACTAGAGAAAAAGGGAGGGAAGAACAGTCCCAGCAACATCTCAAATTAGTCAAAGTGTTTTATCCTTTGCTAGAAAGTTCCTTTATGAACAGGAGTTTTTTTTTTTCCTTTCTCAGCACTTCTTCTCTTTAAAAATGTTATTTCATTCTAGACTATGTTCCTTTTTAGTTACAGAGGTGTTGTCTTAGCCAAACTTGTTCATTTTTTCTGTACAGATCTCTCTTAGTAATCTCTTGTCTCTGATAGCATAAGGACAGGTGTACACATACAGAATCAAAATTTTCAATTTCCTACAACAGATATATACTGATTGCCCACAATATGCCATGTACTGTGGTAGGCCTTGGAGCTATATAAAAACAAAACAGTGTTTTCCTGTCTCTGTCCTTCAAGAACTCAGTTTAACAGGAGAGGCACTTATGAAAATTCTGATTTTATGAGACTGGGGTTTCTGATGTGGGGCTGTAAATGCTGTTTGAGTCCTCCTGAGGTAGAGGTCAGGGCGGCTTCACAGAGTGGGGTGTGAATATTTGAACTGGACACCTCGAGGGAGGAGGAGTAAGTTTCTGCCAGGGAAAGGGTAAGATGGAGGATGTTCCAGGCAGAGGTCACAGTTTGGGCACAGGCTCCCTGGCAGGAAAGCACAGGATGGCTGCTTCTGTGCCTCAAGGTCAGGACGTTGTGTCAAGCTTTGTATTAGATAAAGTGGAATCTTTATGTGGGCCCAGATCATTCAGGATCTTGGATGCTTTGATGCTATAAGCCTCAACTCTGCTCTTCAGGCAGTGTAGAGGCACTAGAGACATTTTAGGGACCTTCAATGATGGGAAACATAAAATTTGGACCCCAAAGTTCTTTTTTTCTGGAAATATTTCACCTGAAAAGGAACTCAGTGTTCATCTAATACTAACCTCTTTTTTTCTTTATGGAAATGATGTTACTCAACTTTGACTTTCATATGACTTGGTGCCCTGTATTTGACATAAAGCCTTAAAGGGGCCACTTATGTCACAGCCTCTCTAAAGTGATCCCTGAATTCAGTCAGAGCTGTCGCTTTGCACTTGACTGATGAAAGATGCTGGGACCTCAGACCAGCCTCATAAAGAGGATG